CCTTTTTTTTTTTTTTTTGAGGGTTCAGTTTCTTTAGAGGGGTATGAATAGAAACATTTTAAACAATCTAAGCCGCATAGAGAAATGGACAAGTTCCTTCTTGAAACTGATTTAAGACATGACATTTGGCATCTGCAATTCATGTTTAAAATTTGGGCGGATTGTGGAATAGGGGGAGGGAGAATGTCTACCTCCTCATGATTCTTTTTGAGGTACGCCAGCTCCTCGCTCAGGTTCTCCAACTGGATCTCTAGGTCGGTTCTGCACAGGGTCAGCTCATCCAGGACCCTGCGCAGGCTGCTGACGTCTGCGTCCACGCTCTGGTGAAGGGCCTGCTCATTTTCAAATCTTAGAAAATATTGGAAGGTTTTATCACAGTAGACACATCACTTTTTAGGTCATCATAAAGCTCAAACTAAGCTTTGAGGTCAAACTATTACAATATACTCAAAACTTCAGCGAGATCGCCTGTAATGCAACAAATTAATTTCTCTGAAGCCAGAGAATGGAAATAGTCAAATTTCTCTTTCATATGATCCTGACATTCATGTGTCAGTTTCCAAATTTCCCAAGTAAAATATATAATGCCCCTAGTTATTTAAATACACATTTAGTTTGAAACAAACTAATAGAAACAAAGAATTAAGCCAACCTCAAGTAGCGTAAATAAAAGAATGACATGCTTAGATAACCTTTTTTTTTTTTTTTTGGTTTCTCTTCAGCTCTACTTACTTTAGCTTAAAGTCATCAGCTGTTAGTCTTGCGTTATCATTTTGCAGGACAACACTGGCATTACTTGTAGTTGCAGAAATTATCTGACAAATGGAGAATTAGTGAACAGTGAGGAAATACTTTTTAAAACTTCAAGTTTCCTTGAAAAAGTCACCTATGAAATAATAGTAATATTCCTGGCATTCTGTCTCCAATAATAAGACGATTCTTTTGAAAGTGGGAAATTTAAGTAGGGCCTCTTTTACTCTCCACCCCACCCATAAAAACAAAGCAAAACTCTTCCTATGGAAAAGCCTATAAATATATAGCTGGAGACATTGGGTAGTTTTTGATATTATTAAAAGCATAAACATGCATACCTCATACCAGGTGCTAGATGAGACATGTTCAAAGATTAGGATTTTAATATAAATTATTTTTACATTAATAATGAAGTACCTAGAATTAGAAGCTGAGAGCAAAGCCCTGGTTCCTGCGTGTGGCTGCTTATGTATTTGTGAGTGTGTGCATGTGGCTAAATACTCTTATGGGCCTTAACCCTCCTGACATTGTGTTTCTTACCTGGTTCTTAAGGTCATCAATTATTGGGAAGTACCTGCTGTAATCATGATCAAGGCCGCGGCAAGAGCCAGGCCCAAATTTCTCATACCACCCTTTGATCTTCTGCTCCAAGTCCGCATTGGCCTCCTCTAGGGCTCGCACATTCTCCAGGTAGGAGGCCAGGCGGTCGTTGAGGTTCTGCATGGTCACTTTCTCATTGCCCGAGAGGAGGCCGTGTTCATTCCCAATGAAGGCAGCACAGGAAGCATTGCCCCCGCCCAGCCCTGCGCCATAGCCTCCTGCAGATGAGTTGCCCCCAAAGGTGCAAGAGAAGCCGCTTCCAATGCCAGGCACACCGCATGCGTTTGCAGCCCCGAAGCCAGCTCCCGCGCTAGACAGCCGCACAGAGCCCACGCCCGCGCAGGAGCCCAGGCGCCTGGATGCCGAAGAAAAGCGCACAGACATGCTGTCCAGACTGGAGCGCTTGTGCCCCGAAAGAAGCTCTGACGGTGAATGCCCTGCTCAAAGGGTTCAGTTTGTCTTTATATACACGTTATCGGGGTGTTTCTTGATGAACCTTGCTACCCAGAGCAAAACGGTGCTTGCCAGCTCATCATGAATTATTCATAATTGGGTGTTTTTTGTTTTTTTTAATGAATGTCTTTACCCTACTGTGTCCATTTCTGTAGGTGGATAGTTACCTTGGGGTTATATGTTATCTCCAAAATGAGACAGGGAGGAGTATTATCAAGGTTATTATAGTGATGCATTTCAAATTTAGCATGAGTAAGTCTTCCTGTCTCCAAGCTTCAGAAGTATAAAATTCCTATAAGAATAAAAAAGTACGATAGACAAATTTCTCTTTCTCTTGATTAACCAACAACACTGCATCTTCCCTCCCAGCAAGTGAGGTATCATATATATGGTTTTCTATGGATAATATAACCTTTCTTTCAGATATACTGAAAATACTTTCAAGACCCTGGGCTCAGGGCACCAGAGAGGAAGGTAGCCAGGTCTTAAATGAAAATTGAAGAATTAAATGGACTCTTCTCTGATCCCCATCCCTCCTGAGTTAACGTTCTATTTTTACTGGTTTTCTGTCTGAGCTCTGTTGCTAACCAGGTTGAATAAAGGTATTGGTTAACCTGTCTGGACCTCAATCGCCTCCTCTGTAAAATGAAGGGACTAGACGATGGCCTGTATGTTCTCTTGTAGTTTGAGAGCTTGTATATTTTTATAGTTTTCTTTCTTTCATTATTTCTAGAAAAAATTTCTGGATTCACTTCCTCCACTCTTCACTTCCTGCTCACTCCTGAATTTTGGCCCCACCACTTTATGAAGTAACCTCTCAAAGATTGCTAATGGCCCCACATCGCTCATCCACACATCACTTCTCGTATTTAGTCTCCCAGGCCCTCGTAGACACATTTGATACTGAACATCCAGTTTTACTGAGTTTTCTACTATTGCTTCCTGAGAACACTTCTGCACCTCCGCTTGCCCTTCTCCTTTCTTCCATTCATAGGCTCTCTATCTCAAATTTGCCGTTCCTTACAGTTTTGCGCTCGGTGATTCTGTTTTGTACCCACTCTCCCTGGGCAATCTCATCCCTCCTTGGCTCCCGATGCATGTTCTAAATATACATCTTTACCGCTGGCCTTTCCCCTTTCTAGACCCACACCTCGCTACGCCCTCCAGACATTTCCACTTGGATATTCTGTCTTGACTTCTAACTCACCTCACAATTACCTTGGCATCAAAATTTGATCTTTTGTACCTTTCCTCATTAGTTGCTGGTGGAACTGCTGTGAGTCATGCTCAGGATTGCTCAGAAACCTCTCACGGCTGTAATTTCCTACCAGCCTGCATCCAAGCAGTTGGTAGGTCCTATTGGATCTACTTCTGCAGTGTCTCCTCCAGCATTTTCCTCTTTTCTGTTTTCCTTGTCACTATCATTTTCTTTCAGCTCAGTTAGTAGGACCTCAGTTGGATTTCTGGCTTCAAGTCTTTTTTGTTTCCATCATGGTCGTTAAGCAGGTGGGTTCTAAGGTGTTATTCCTGAAGCACATGGTCATTCATGAAAGAACTTGGGCTCTTGAACCAGACAGATCAGCGCTCCTATCCCAGTTCTGCCATTTTCTAGTCGTTGAACCAAAGCAAAGCCCACTCGCTCTGAGCTTTGGTTTTCCATTTCTGAGATGGAGACATCAGTACTTGTATGTCGGGAGGCCTTTCAACGGTAGTTTAACTATGTGAAGCAACTCCATTTGTCAATACTTAGTATTCCTTCCCTTTCTCCACTCTCCTCCAGTGTAAAACCTTTCATTTGAAATGTAAGACTCTTCTTGACATAGGTTCTGCTTCCCTCACATGTCCATTCTTTCATGTTCGTACTCTTTCCCTCCCTTTTGTCTTTGCCCATGTTTTGTCTCCATTTGAGACTATTTGAAATCTTTGCCAAGAATGACTGACATCACTTTCAATTACATAGATTGAGAATGAAGTTGCTGAAAATATAAATGTTCATGACCTAAGAAGTGAATTTGCAGAAAGGCCAGAAAAATCTATTATTCAATCAAGAAATCACATGAATAAAGCATCATAATTTATTTTATTCCATAAAATTATGGCATCAAAATGTTATTTTTTGCAATTCATAAGTTAATGTTATTCTACATGGATAGCTACTGCATGTATTATATATTCTATGTAATAAAATATTTTTAAGGAAAAATATTTATGTTTTAGTGCCTCTAACTGAACTTTTTCTAGATTTTTGAATAAGGGGTTCTAACTATTTCATTTTGCACTAGGTCCTGCAAATGATGTAGCCAGCTCTGGTTGCTGAGTTCTCTAGGGAAGCTGAAGAATCCTAGAAAAAGTCCCTCCAGATACAGATATTTGAGGGTTTCCTACCAAAGGAAGCTCACCACACCAGCGCCTCGGAGTGAAAGGCATACATGCATACCCAGAGCTTCCAGATATTTAAAACCTTACTGTTAAACAGAATTTCAAAGACCACCATACACTGAAAAAAACTCCAGCATGAAAGACAAAGGTTCACCCAGGGGAGAGACAGTAAAGAAAGCTCAAGAAAACTTTAAAAAGGAAACCACCTCTAATTAATAGTCTTAGAAGTAACAAAAATACTGCATATTTGAAACGTGAATAGAATATCATTAAAATCGCACAGCAGAACACAATAAAGGTCTCTGAGAATTAAAAGCCAGCTTCTAAAATTAACTTTCGATAGGTTGGAAAAGAAACTTTAAAAATCCCCCCAACAGTAGAACAAAAGGACAAAACGATGGATAAAAGAAAACTGGAGGCTCGATCCAAAAAGATCAACCGTAAGTAGATTTTCCAGAAAGAGAGAAGGGAGAAATGATGAAGAAATTATTTTGTAAACATACTCTATAGTACTACTTAGAACTAAGGGCCGAGCTTCTAAATTGAGAGACCATCAAGAACCAGTAGAATAAATAAAAAAGAACCACAGCAAAGCACCTGTGCAGGGTATTTCAGAGAACCATGGAGAAAAGGAGAATATTTGAAGTGATAGAAGAAAAGACAGGAACATAGCCCTTGATGGGGAAATCAGAACGGCTCTGGACTTCTCAACAGCCCTGGAGCCGTAATTCCCGTGAAGAACCCTTCAAAATTCTAGCTGAAAATACCGTCCAACCTAAAATTCTCTGCTTTGACAATTCAGCATGAGTGAGGGTGAAACAAAAATATTTTCAGACAAGAAAGGTCTCAAAAAAATTTACCTCCTTTGTATACTTTGTCAGGAAACCACTAGAGGGGAAAAAGAACAAGGAAAAAGGGAGGCTTAGAATCCAAGAAATGGGGTCTCAAGAGGGCAGGCTTTCCATTCAAATCAAACTTGGTTCGAGCGCAGAAAGCAGGCAACGGTGTTCTAAGAAACACGAATGATCAAGAAACCGTTATATATTTGCTTATGTTACATTCCTGTATTAGCCACTTCTGAAAACAATGACATAGAAAGACAGGGCCACCCACAGTTCCTTTCCTTGTATGTCAAAATTATTTGCAGTTCCAATTTGTGTCTATAAATAAAGTCCTATTGGAACTCAGTCATGCTCGCTTGTTTATCTATGGTCGATAGCTGCTTTCTGCTATAATGGTTGAGCTGAGCGGTTGAAATAGGAACCTTATGGCCTCCATAGCTTGAAATATGTACTATCTGGGCCTTGACAAAAAAAAGTTTGCTGAACTTTGCTTTAGAAGGAAAGCCATTAACACGAGGCTCATTGCTGCAGAGCTTTCCAGAGCTAATCCTAATTATAGGGGGAGTGGTATCCTAGAAAGTATCTAGATCTCCAGAAGAGTTTGAGATAAGAGCATTGGTAAAACACCAGAAATGTGCCATCTAGAGGTGAGACTTTTCAGTCACTGGAGAATTTCTGAAATTTTCCAGATTATTTGCCCATGTAAAAATGGTGAGATTTGAAGATTACGCCTACTGAATGTTTAATATTTAAATACCATGTGGTATTGACTATTATTCAAAACTAGAGTGAAAGGCAATTAAAATATATTCCATAAATGTCTCCCTATGAGTCAGACATAGGAAAAAAGTAAATCACAAATCATTATTTATTAGTCATGAAGGAATGGAAATGAGTGCACATCAACTTTTTTATTTATTTGAAAATAAACACCCCTTTCCCTGTAAAAGGTAATTAAGAAATTGTTCCCCCCCCCCAAGAAACTTATCTTTAAGGGCAGAAAGTATTTTTATTATCTTTTTAATATTTAGAATAATGCAGTTGTGCAGGATCTTTCCCCAAATTATTCTTTTCTCAAAAATCTCAGCTAGAAAGGAACCCTTTGTTCTGTCTTGCCATTGGTCATTTTCGATGTTTTTTCTTCAATGGACTGAATCCTCGATGAAAGGACTTTACCACGTTGATCTATCTCTTCAACCACCGTCTTTACCAGTGTGGTTTTGGGTAAATCTAGAAATAAAACATATGTGAATACATGATTACATGACAAAGAATTCAACTGCTGGTTGTAATATTATGTACACTTTTGGTGAGGGAGTAAATATAGATTTGTAATAATAGTTTGGAACAGTTTTATCCATTCAAAATAATATCTTAAGTTCCAAGCTAAGCACTTTAGTTTAAAATTTTAAAATACAGACTGCTGCCATAGTGTACGATTGCCATTAATGCAAAAGTATTTGCTGCAATAGAAACAGAACTAGGTTTTGTTACCTTTAGATGAATTCCCTGAGCTTCCTGGTCCAAAGCCCTTTGATTTGGAGCATGAGCTGTAAAACAAACAACACCACAGTTTATTTTTTAATATTTCTGTTTATCATTTCAGAAATATTTAGTGAATCGATAGATGAACATAATCTCAAGTGAACTCTGCATGCCAAAAGCAAATCTTAGTTTTTTAGAAAGAAAATAGAATTTTGGGGGGACAGGAGCTGAAAATAATTAAATGCTATTTAAAGAGAGAATATAAAACAACCTTGTTTCCATTTGATTTTTTAAACCCGCAAATTTAAAGCTTGAAGGGGAAATATATATAAATAACTTGGGGGTTTGTGCAGAGTGTTTATTTCAAGGCAGCAGTGACATTAGGAATGAACTGAAAGATGGATAAAACCTGGAGGGTGGGTAGGGAGAATCTTGAAACCCACAGTAATTAACATGGACCATAACGGGGGGCTTCTGAAGGGACAACTGGGGTCACCCAAGGCAGATGAGGAAGAGGCTGTGGTGTACAAAATATGGAAGAGATGACTGCAAAGGCAAGAGATGAACATGCTTCTCTGCTGAGGGAATAAAGAAGAAAAGGCCTGGAGGCATGGACGGCGAATGGGCTGTGTGGTTGTGGCCGCGGAGAGTAAAATGGTGTTTCAAATCTTACTCTCCATCTCCATCTATCAGGCGGCAGTAGGTCTCGATTTCTTTTTCCAGGTGGACCTTGATGTCCAGGAGCTGCTCGTATTCCAGCTTCTGGCCCTCGGTCTCGGTTCTGACCTGGTGCAGCTGCTCCTCCAGGGCCCCGATCTGAGCCTGGATCTGGGCGAGCTGCGCGCAGTAGTTGCCTTCGGTCTCGGTCAGGGAGCACTCCAGGGACTGTTTCTGGGGATATAAAAGATGTCAGAGCAAGGGGTGAAGCCCCTTGGAGGGCCACCTATTCCCAGCAAAAGGCAATATTGCTCCATAGGTAAGCTTTGGAAACTTGTGGGGCTTGTCACAATGAAATGGGAGGTGGAGAGGAAGGGGAAGTGACTGGTGTTAACTGGAGGTGGGGGAGAGGGAGGCATGCTAGATG